GAGATTTAGCAAACTATTTTCGTAGCTCTAATGAGCAGAATGACCCTAAGTGACCTGTGTTAACCCCAGGCTCTGTGCTGCCTAATACCAGGAAGATTCTACGAGTCACTGAGCATCTATTATTAACCAACTGCTGCTGGCAATGGCAGTCTGCTGGAGGAAAATTATGCGCAGAAAAGATTCCGTTTCTTCCTCAGATTTTGGCAGAGAAGTAGGAGGAAAATTATCTGAAAAATGAAATGATTTAATATAAATGTTATATGATAAGCTAGCTTTTTTTGGATGACACTTGCATTATCAGGCTGAAAGTACAGTGGTGAGCTGGTGTGAAGGTTCTCTTTAATATTCCTTAAAATAATAAATGCAAAGTTATTTTTAAAACAACTTAGTCACCCAGAATTGATTTCATTCCCAAAGGCAGTTCATAAATTAAGATTTACACTTAACATGCTGCTTTCTTAATTTGGAACATGTTAGTATAATAAAATGACACACATTATTTTGGAACTTCTAATTTAGCTCTTGCAGAAATGTTATTTTTATGCTCTATATGAATGTTATATGTCATGTTTAATTTCTTCACTTTTGTTATGTACATCTATAATATTGGTGGTTAGATAGAAATGAGAATAGGCAAAATATTATCTAGTATTCTATCAACTGAAATTCTGTTTTATAGCATATTTACACACACTGAAAATTGAACTATAAAATTTTGATATGTATTTTGAATCATTTGCTTGGGAATATTATTGAATTAAATTATGCTTGATTTCATTTTAGTATTGTGACGTGACTTATAATTTTCAATGATAAAACAACTCACAGTTGTATATCATCCATTGTCTCATTTTTTCCTCATAATGAGATTGGGAAACAGGCTGAGGAAAATAATGCTTATCTGTGGCCTAATGGCTAATACATTGCCTCTTAAATTTTATAAGTGTAAATATGCATAGAGTTCATATTCATGATTTATTTTAATTCTGAAAAGAATTGATAGATAGGATGGAATAAAAACAGGACTCAGTCATAGTCCCATGATTCAAATTATCATTTTATGCCATAGATATATTTCATTTGAGATCAAAATATTCTTATATGCATTTAAAAATATTTCTGGGTAATGATGTTTAATATTTGAAATCTGCTAAATTTAAATATTAAAAATTTTTAACAACGATTTTGTTTTCTTATTTTCATTTTGTAAATAAGCATGTACTATTCATAGAATAAAGCTAGTTACCATGCATTCATCAAAGCAGTTAATAATCACAATAAAACAAAAAAGAATCCTATATAGTCTTATAATATTTTGATCTTATTTTAAAAACATGAATATTTAAACAATAATGAAGTTGTATAGTATGAAGGAAATAATTTGTACAGTTATTTATTGCATTTGCTAGATGAATGATTATTTTCAAACTATTTTTTTGTCCGAACTTAACATATCACCCTGACTGCCACACAAAATCAAACTGCAAACACTAATGGATGTTCTGGGCCAGTTGTTTCCAGACATTTAAATTTCACAGACTGGTGAAATTAAAAGGAAAACAAATAAAGAGGTTGGCCCAGGTTTGTCAGTATTTCCCATTGCCAGTGAGAACATTAAACAAAACAAGACAAAATTGTTTACAATTATCATTATTTCATAAAAGGGAGGCTATAAAAACTTCATCTAAACAGGTATCAAGAGAACATAATTTTCAGCTGTTACCCAGACCCTCTGTTTATCTCCCTGGCTAAATTCTTCGCTCCACACCTAATTTCTGATACCTGTTTGTGTTGTCTTTCCATTGCATAAACTTTCTGATTCCACTTCTGGCTTTGGTGACCTACGTTTTCTATAAAGGTTTTGGCTATGCACACTCCCTTGCTTTGCCATTCTCTGCTGCTTTAGGGTAAGAGATCCCTGTGCTACCCTCTTGCTTCTTGGAATCCCCCACTCTAGCTGTGATAGCCCCAGCTTTGATAAAAAATTCAGACATATTTTTCCCCACCTGAATCAAATTTCAGTTCTGCTAGTTATACTATCATGGTGCATCTTCTCTTCCTGGATATTAATGCTGCCTTGTTGTCCATAACATTTAAAATAGGAGCATATTTTGTTCAATTGTATAATATAGTTGTCTTAAGCTTTCAAGATGTGTGGAGCTTTTATATTACTTAAAAAAAATAATTTACCAAAGTGAGATTCACATGATGATATATTTTAAATGATATTTTACAGAATGTTTCTATGACCTCAAATTTTCAAAATTTCAAAATTAAAGAAAGATGTTTTGAGGATCTTCCAGCAGTAACTTAGAGTTGAAGGGAACCACAGAGGTCATTGTTCCACCATTCCACCCATAATGTAGAGTAATAACATCTGAATTAAATGGTCATACAACCTCTATTTGGGCACGTCTAGTCATGGGGATGTCATTTCCACATAAGGTGTCTCTTTCTGTTGTTGGGCAACCTCATTGGAAATTTCTTTCTTAGGATGACCTGAAATCTGCAAGTCTATATCTTTTTCTAATCTTAGCCCTTGGACTGTTTGAAGATAGCTGTCAAATCCACCAGGAATCTTTGCTTCTCTGGGTTAAATATTCCTAGTCCCTTCAACCATTCACTTTTCATGTGACATGTTTTTCAGATCCTTAATTTTTCAGACTAAATTTTCCTAAATATGTTGACTATTTTAACAGTGTTCTGATTCACATTGGCTCCCAGAGCTGGACATGACATTCCTGAGAAAAGTCTTGCAAAACAGAGAATGATGGACTATTTCTTTTGGGTCACCTGGATAAAGTGCTCCAATTGATACAGTGTGAGATTGGGTTAGATTCTCAGAAGTGTTCACATGAATTTTGTAATAAAAAAATCCCTAGATTTAATCTTTGCTGCTGAAATAGGTTCTTTCTACTTAGTTCTTGTACATTTGAATTTCTGAACCAAAATGTGGGGCTTCAGATTTATCTTTGTTAAAATTAACATTGCCAATACATTTTAGCATTCAGTTTAAGATGGAGATACTTCATATTATAGAAAGAGATCATTTTGAATCTTAATTTTATTAAAAATGAATCTGTTCAAGGACTCTATATTCGAGATCTCCTATCATCTTTATACTTTGTCATTAATTCACATTATTGGGTATAGTTGTCTAAAAGCCATGAATCTAATTAAGTACATTTTATTATTCAGCCCATGTTTTATTTAAGGATATAATTGGAAACTTTATTGCTTACTTTCTAAAAGACAATGGTATCTGAAGAGACATTTCAAACATAAAATGACTCAATTCGATAATTTTTGCTTATGTTATTTTTGTTTTCTATAAGTTCATTGGACTTTTTTTTCTGTCGAAATAAAAATATAGACTCTTCATAAAAAATATGTTTCTTAACATCGGTACTCTAGAAAGTGGAGCCTGAGGCAACAATTTCAGTGTTGCTGCCTAAAGAGGTATGAACACATGTGTGTGGTAAGATATAGGGAAAATAAGAAGTGAAGCAAGGAAAGACGTGAAACACAGTGAGCTGGAAACAGACCCAGCAGGTTGCTCAGTGGGCATGTCTGCTTGGCATTCAGAATAGGAACAGAGGATTGTAAGGAGAAAACACAACTCAGAGTGGTCCAATGAAGAGAGTTAAAAGGGAGGAATATATCTGTGCTGTCTCCTGCTTTGCATTAGTCAAGGTTCATCCACACTAACTCCCCATATTGCCACCAGCTCAGCTATCTTGTCTCTCCAACTTAGTTTTCCCCTGGTATATCTGTGTCTGCCAGTACTTGGTTAGGAGGCATCAAATCTCAAATCTGGAATTAAATCAGATGTATTAGTCTGTTCAGGCTGCCATAACAAAATAGCATAGACTGGGTGGCCTAACAACAGAAATTTATTTCTCACAGTTCTGGAGGCTGGGAAGTTCAAAATCAGAGTGCTAGGATGGTCGGGTTCTGGTGAGCTTTCTTGCTGCCTTGCAGTTGAGAGCTTGAGGAGCTCTTTGGAGCTCTCTGCTGCTTTCTTGCTGAGTCCTCACATGGCAGAGAGAGAGAGAGAGAGAGAGCAAGCTCCCAGGTGTCTCTTCTTATAAGGGCACTAATCCCATCATGAAGACTCCACCCTCATGATCTCATCTAACATACTTACCTCTCAAAGCCCTCATCTCCAAATACCATTTCATTGTGGGTTGGCGTTTCAACATATGGAGTCTTAGGGAACACAATTCAGTCCATAGCATCCATTGCTGTCCCTCCTATGCAATTCATGTCCATCTCACATGTAAAATACATTCATCCTATCCAACAGCCCCAAAACTATTAGCTCATTCTAGCTAAAACTCTAAAGTCTAGAGTCCAGTCTTATCTAAATATCATCTAAATCAGATATGAGTGAAATTCAAGATAGAATTCATCTTGAGGCAGAATTCTTCTCCATCTGTGAATCTGTGAAACCAGAAAAGTGATGTGCTTCCAAAATATAAAGGTGGACAGGTACAGGGTAGATATTCCCATTCCAAAAGGTAGAAATTGGAAGGAAGAAAGGAGTGACAGGTCCCAAGCAGGTCCAAAACCTAGCAAGGCAACTTCTATTAGATCTGATTCTCTTTGGTTTGATGCTCTGCCCTCCATGCTCACTGTAGTGGCAGCACCACCCTCACGGCTTTTGGGGCAGCCCTGTCCGTTTGGCTCAATATTAGGCAGGAAACAATAGAAATAACACACATTGCTAATTGTGTAAATCAGTAAAATCTTTCTAGAGGGCAGTTTTGCAATGCAAATCAAAAGCCATAAAATTTTGCATATTCTTTGATGCAATAATTCAAATTCTAGCTATTTATAATAATGATATGCTATAGTTGCACAAAACATTTCAATACAAGAATATCTATCGCAATTTGTATATTATAATGAAAAAAGTAGAAACTCCAAATGCCAACAATCAGAGATTGATGTAGTCGTTCAATAGACTAGTATGCAGCCAAAAGGAGTAACAGTGAATATCATACTCAGACCATTTAATATCATGTAAAAAATTCGAGGTATAATAAATGAACAAAGCAGGTTACCAAACAACATTCCAATTGTGGTAGATGCTATGTGTGCAACAGCCCATACATTCACCCTCACTATTTCAGTGTATTCTTGCTATATTTCCAATTGAGTTTTCTTTGTCCATGTGCTTAGCAGCCAGAAGTGCTGAAGAATTATGCTCCTGGATGAGCTGTCAGCCAATAGTTGATGGAATTCATGTATAAACAGCCCATTCACCCCTTTGTTGAGATAACTTTGAGACCCATGCTCCATACTGTCTCCTAGAGTTGGGGTCAGCTCCAGTTACTCACAGTGGTAACTTCCCAGGTAATGTGCCCTCTATTGGCTGCTTGCCGTTCTCTTCTCTGTCTCCTACCTGTGTTTCCAGACATCATCACTCACATGAGCTACTAGCACTTGAATCTTTGTCACAAGCTTTTCTTAGGGAAATCCAACCTAGAATACCAATTCAAACAGAATTTCAATTAAAAATAATATTTATGTCTATACCAAACTGACTGGAAATATGTACACTGAATTAGCAACATTGGTTATTTCTGGAGATGGTGAGCTTATAGGTGGGTATTTTCTTCCTTTTTACTTATTTGCATTATCTTTAATGAATCTGGAAGAAGAAAAAAATAAGTTATTTTAAACAGGAAAAACCAACAAATGTTTTTCTTGCTTTTCACTCTTTCTCAATCCCATTTTCAATTCAGTCCCTGCAAAGGAAAGTGCCTTAATATGAATTCCATTGGTTTACAGTGCAAAGACATATTGCATAATTATATCATGGCTTTCTGTCAAAGGAATATTAAAGGCAATATAGGCCTCAAGCAGTTTCTGTAGCAAGTGAATTTCAATTTTAAACTTTCAATATTCTCTCTGCATTGGCTACATCTTTAAATATTTTAGACCTAAGAAATTCCCTTTTTCACCAGAAGAAGATTGGCCCATAAAAACCAATAGTGTTTGCAGAATTGTAGGTATAGACATCCCTGAAGAATGCCCTCTTTCTAGATTGTTTTATTTATTATAAAGTAACCCTGATTCCTTCTAGATGAAAAGATATCAAACCTTATGATGGGTTTCAGAAATGTTCATTTTCACAGAGCTTGAAGGGCAATTGTTTGACTATCACACAATTCTATTTGTCGGAATGGAGAGAAGAGTAAATTCTCTAAACAAGTCTTTGAGTCTATGAAATGAGCAGTGTAGTGAGTGGGAAAGGGCATTGAACCAAGAGTCAGGACCTGAATTCATAGCCTTGGAACAGCTACTGACCTGCTTGTTGGGCTGTGGGTGTGGCAAACTTTCAAGCAGAGAGGAAAGATTGAGAAAATTAAAGGAATGAGTTAATGTCTACTGGGAATAGACAAGATACATGATGAATAAACTGATCTAATTTGGACTATCTTTTCTTTTCCTACATTGGATAAAGACCCGAATACTGAAAAATATTTCTTTACCCTAAGAAAAACAATGGTGCAGGTGTGACTGATAAATAGCAAATGTACTTGGCCTCAGTTACGAAGGGTGTGGTTGGAACCATAGTCCATGGGTGATTGTATTAGTCTGCTAGGGCCATCATAATAAAATATCACAGACTGAGTGCCTTCAACAACAGAAACTATTTACTCCTAGTTCTACAGGCTGGAAGTTCAAGATCCAGACATCAGCAGGTGTGATTTCTCCTGCGGCCTCTCCCCTTGTCTTACAGATGACCAGCTTCTCATTGTGTCCTCTCATGGCCTTTTCTCTGTGCACGTGCTCCTGGTGTCTCTTTCTTTTCTTATAAGGAAACCAGTCCCATTGGATTAGAACCCCACCCTAATGGACTCATTTTGTCTTAATCACTTCCTTAAAGACCTTATCTCCATATAGAGTTACATTCTGAAGTACTGGGGGTTGGGACTTCAACTTACAAATTTTGAGTGACACAATTCAGCCCATAACAGTGACTTAGGTAGGAAGGTGAAAGAATGATGAAGCTTCAGGTTTTGAGGACCGCTGAACTCCATAACTTAATGATCCAGCAAAATCTACTTTGAATCTCAGGTTATGTATTTTTTGATAGAGCTTTGAAAATATGTATCTAAAATTATATTTCTATTTAACTGTTTATTTTCTTCTTAATTGTAAATATAGAAATTTGCTAAAAATTGGCTCTACTTAAAAGTAAGTTAACTATGAAACAGTCACACACAAAAAATTGATTACATATTATTAGGCCAAAAGAAAAATGTCAATAAATCCCCCAAAGTAGAAATCCTGAATCCACAAAGCAATAGAGCAAGAAATCAGTGACTAGAAGATGGTAAAATAAAATAAAAAAGCAAAATAAGACAGTAAAATAACCACAAAGAAATCATGTTTAAAATGAAACTTTTCTAAAAACTCAGGTTAAAGAGGCAAGCAAAAATTATGTGGTAGACAAAGGTAGTAAAAAATCTTTTCAACTGCTGTTCTTCAGTACTCTGAAATTATGAAGCTATTATATCACAGTTACAACAGTAAATATTTTCCATAAATGATAGTGAAAACAAAACATATTAAAACTTTATATTCTTTTTTGAAAGTGTAGGGGAGGAAGACATTTCCTCTCCCCACTGTGGGTTCTTCTGGCCAGAGAACAAATTAAATTCACATGAGACAGAATAACAGGAGAAAATTAAACAAAGCTTTATAACATGTATACATGGGAGAGGCTCAGGCAAGCTGAGCAACTCGCCAAAATGGCTGAAGCCCCCACCTTAAATATCATCTTCAGCTAAAGACAAAGGATGTTGGGGGTGGGGGGAGTCAGTTACAGGAAGTTATCAGACAAGCACAGTAAACAAATGCAGATTTAAGTCCTCGCCTGTGGCGTTGGTTAAGAGTTTCTAGAGCTAAGGTCATCCACCTTCTTCCTGGTACAGAGAGGGAGACACATTTACAGATGGAGAATTCCTTTACAATGTAAATGTCTCTTAACAAAGGGTAAGTAAACTCTGCTTCTCAGAGTTCCTTTCCTGTCTGCAGTTTATTAAAAGTAACCAGCCCCAAATAATCCTCATGCCAAAGAGACATATCTTGGGGTGGCCAATGCCAGTCCCCCACAAAAGCAAAAAACCCAATCAATTCAAAATATATGAGCTTTACATTTCACCTCAGAAGACAGATAAGTGGCAATACTAAAGAAATAAGAATCAAGGAATTAATGAAGATAAGAGCAGAAATTAATGAAATAGCAAAAATATTGCCTTCAGAGCTATTTCTTTGAAAAGACCATATAGACAACACAAATATGCAATATTAGTAATGAGGAAGTTTTTACTCAGATAATGAAGAAATTTAACAATTTCAAATGAATACTAACTATACATTTATGTGAGCAAATTTGAATATGTAGATGAAATGGATAACTTTCCTGAAAAACAATTAGCAATTTAGCTTCAAGAACAGGTAAAAGCAATAAAGAAAGATAATCAAAGAGCTCTCTCCCCCACCTTGCTCCTGATCCACAGTCACCAGATCCAAATGTTTGGGCAGCAAATCCAACCTGAACTTCAAGACAAAAAAATTTGAGATGGTTAAGTTATTGCAAAGCATAAAGACATAGAAATTAGCAATTCATACTATGAAACTGTTATGTCACTAGTTGTCACATTCTGTTGTCACAGTCACATAAGTGTTGGAGGATAGCACTAAAAAGAAATTTGCAGACTTTTTTCATATATGAAGATAGAAACAAAAGTATTAAAAACAGTCATCTAAATATCTAGCAAAATTTTAAAATAACACTATGTCATATTTGAGAAGCTCAGGGATAGTTCAACACTCAGAAATCTTGAAGTCATTCACTACATCAGTAATTAAGCAGAGAAAGTATATGATTGATTCTAGAAAGGCCATTTGATAAAGTTCAACATCCATTTCTGAGGAACATCTTTAGTAACTTGGAAATATACTTAATTTGAAAAGAGTTTTTATCAGCAATTAGCGGTAGAAATAATACTCATGGAGAAACACCAGAGGAATTCCCAATAAATTTAAGAAAAAGACAAAGATGTCCACTCTCATTACTATTATTTAACATCAGACTGGAGGTCAAGGGGTACAAATGAGCAGTTAAAGCAGAAGAAATGCAAATGAACAATGAATAATAAGCATGAGAAAACATGCTTCTCTGTAGTAATAATAGGAACGAAAACTAAAACTACAATAAAATACAGTTTTTACCTAGCAGATGAAATATGAATGATGTTCAATTTTGGTGAAATTGCTCCCATTACCTAAGCCCTTCTTATGCCTTCAGAAGTGTCCACTTCCTGCCCTCTCTCTTTTAGTGCCCTGCTTCTCTGTGGACCAATGAAAATCACTTTACAACTAGTTCTTTACGAATCCTGAAGCCTCAAGGCATCCACTGAAAGTCAATGGCTTTCTCTTCTGGAAAAAACTCTGCAGATGGAAAAGTTCTGAGGAATTGAGAGAGGGGTGGAGTGGGGTGTGGGGAGAGCTCTGGTCCTGTGGATGGTGATTGTTTTCCCTAAAGTATCTAAGAATAAACACACCTTGTCACTATGAGGATTGATTTCCTTCCTGCCCGTTAATGTGATTTGTATCCTATTTCCTGTAAAATAATAACCCTTACTTTATGTTGCTAAGGTGCACTCTTTCTCTCCTTGTCCAAGGTTATATTACAAACCTTTATCACATTAATCTATCTATGAATAGAAAACAGCCAAGTTGCTGCTCTGATGACCAGAAGTTTCCACTGACCACCTGACTGGAATTGCAGGCAGGCAGGGAGGGGTGGAGGACATTTCAATGTACTCTCACCTCGCTGGCAATTGGAAAAGCGTTGTATTATATGCTTCAGCTGATCAACCAAAATGCAGCCAGGGGCCGTTTGGACTGGTAGTCTATGGTTCTTTGTAACAAAAGGACACATTTAAACAAGAAAATAGGTACAATGATCCACCTGAGGATCAGCCCCTGGGTTATCTTTCCTGGGTCTGGAGGCTGAATGCTCAGCTTGTATTAACTGTGCTGCAGGGGTCAGAAGAGGGGTCAAGGGAGACCTAACAGCCTGTGCAGCCTGCCCCAGCAGGGTCCTTATCTCCGCTTAATGTACAAAGTGTTCTTGCCTGGGAAAGTGCCCTGTCCACAAAGAGTCATATATCTCCTCTTGTTTAAACCACAGACAGCTAGGATTGTTGATTTTGCTTTTGGCCAAACCATAAAGAGCTAAAAATGGCCCATATGGTCTGGAGGGATGAAAATAAGTTAAATCCTAAACTAGAGACTCGATTCCATTACTCAGGCATGTGGAAATGCTCTTTAAGGCTTTCTATAGAGACTTCACCGAGGGCCTGATTTAAAACCAAGAATAGTCAAGGGCAGAAAGCTAACCGATAATCCACCATATTTGATGACAGACAGACAGCGATCTGGAATCAGCGTCTGGGACGTGAAGGTAGAAAGCTTAGGGCAGTGGATGACGAGCAGTCCCTGCAGTCACAGAGGACTGCCACATGGGGGCGGCAAACCTTTGCAATCATGAAGTGGTCAGCTCCACTTGCTTTAAGGCGGTTTGACTCAGATGAGATATCACTTGTCTCACGAGCTAGGTAAAAGCAAGTGTTCGTACACTGACTTAAGACATTCACGACTTTGATTTCTTTTGAAGACATTTCGTGGGTAGAAGGAAATCATTAATGTTTCCCTCCATGATGTCATGCTTTGCTCCATAAAAAAGGGAATCCATAGAAACTTCCTGTGGGCTTACTCACTTTTCTTGCAATATTAGTATACATTTCCCCTCTCCTTGAAACAGTTCATTAATAATATTTTGGAGTTCATGTAGCTTTGTCCTAAATACCTTAACTAATTCTCGCAATATCCCTATTACATGAAGATCAGATCCTTTGGGTTCTTCATTATCCTTTTATGATACAGTTTTGTCTAAATCCTTCTTCAATAAAATCGGAAATATTTTGTCTTGCATACCAAGTCTCACCCACCAAAAATGCTTTTTTCCTACTTTTCTCCTCTCCTTCAAGCAGTTAATTTTTATCTTTATAGAACATTAATATACATCAAATATTGCTTGCTGCTGTCTCCTGATATGCATCCTCCCCTTTTCTATAATGACACACTTCCTGAATTTTTGCAGTATGTGCTATTCCTTTTCATCTTTCTTTCTTCTTTTTCCCACTAGCTGTAATGGAGATGTCCTGGGCCATGTAAATGAATGCATCAGAGCAAGAAGATTGAAGAGTCCTTGGCCATCCAGCTTGCCTTCCTAGGACTGCTTACACGTGGATGAAAGGAAAATACACCCTATCTTATTTAAGCCACCATAGTTTGGAGCTTCTGTTACAGCAAGTGAGCCAATGTCCTAACTAATTCAACTAGTATGTGCCAGGTGATAGTTCAGCACCTTATGTACATTCTCACATTTAATCTTCACAACCACTCTATAAGGCGAGTCTTGTCATTATTTCCATTTTACAAATGAGTAAACCAAGGCACAGAAATTTAAGAAGTTTGGCCAAGGTCACACAGCTAATAAATAAGAGGACTAGAGCCTCTGCTCTGAATCCCCATGCCATACATTTATTCAAGGCCCCAGTGACTAAGAGTCATCAGAATGATTGTAACGACTTCCTCTCCAGCCTCCATGTCTCTAGGCTCTGCATCTTCTAATCTACCCTACACATTAGCTCATTTAACCTTCCTAAAGGTCTGTACTGACCTGGTCCCAAACCTCAAATATTCACTGTTACCTTCAAGATACATTTCAAGTGCTCATAATTCAAGATTCTCACAATCTGGCTGTAGTTTACCCTCTGATATCATCTCTCATTATTCCTCTAGGCTGACTGTACCTATAACAGACCTTGTTAGGGGCATGCATATAAAATCATATTCTTTACTCACTTTCTTCAGCAAGGTAAGGTTCTTTAAATGACAACTTCCTCAGGTCACATGGCTTTTTGGTCACTCTAGTTCTTAAAAAGTCCAGTCTAGTGCAATTTTAAACTCCAGTTTTACCTTCTCCCTGCCACTTCCACAGGCTTCATCTTTGTTCCAGGAAATCTTCAGGATGGTAGGATATTGCCTGTGCCTGCTCTCCTCTTTCCTTCCTGCCCTGATTCTAGATCCTTTGGTGTGTTAAGGAGGAGGAAGAGGGTCAGGGACAAGTCCTTTTTCCTTTTGTGGCTGTTGTTGTAGTCTTCTCTCTGGGGTTGTCCCTGTTTCTCTAACACCAAATTGCTGTCAATGCCTTCTGTGTTTTAGGCCTCCAAGTGATAGCTCTGGGGAGGGGAAGCTGTGAGTTTCTGGGATTCCCTGTGGAAGTTGAGGTTCTTGTGGAAGGTCCGTTCTGAATCTTCCTCTTCCCACTCTGTCTCCTTCTCCAACCAAGCAGTATGCTGCAGCCTCTTGTTGCTGGAGTATCCCTCCTTTGTTGCCTGCAAAATGGCTCAATTTGGCTCCTTTTCCATGATGATCTGACCCACGGAAACACCTGCAGCAGCTTTTCCTTGTCAAATTGTGGGCTTGTGAGCTGCCCTACAGCCACATCCCTTTTCCCTTCTCTCTCTCTTTGTTCTTTACCTCAGTTCAAAGTCCGTGTAAACATACTTCTAACCATGGGATGAAATATCAGTTACCTTTATGTGCTGAGTAAATGTCTTGGAAGCCATATCACTTGGCTTTAGGGGAGGATTGAGCACTTTCTCCCTCTTCCATTGGGAGGAGAAGGGAAAATAATCTAACACCCTTGTCCTGGCACATGACTTAAATTTCTGCCATTTCCTCCACTCCTCTCCACCCTCCCACCATTGCATGTTCCTCTGCTTGTGTAGACTGGATGGGAGAGTTGACATGGGCTAATGATTGTAGAGCAGATGAGATGGCTTAGTTACCTCTAAAAAGTCTTAAAAAGGTGTCTAATTTTTCAAGAGTTTTCAGAATGTGCTTGTTGTCAGCTATTGGTCCTTTGCTTTAAGTTATAGTGCCCACTCTGGGAAAACAAGAAGAGCCTAATTCAGTGTTCTTATACATTCCAAAGTAGGTATATTTCTTACAATAAAGGTAATAACTAGACTTTACTGTGCATTTAATCTGTGTTAGGTACTGTACAAAGTACTGTAATGCATTATCTCATTTAAACCTTTGACAACCCAATGGAGTATGCATTATTAATATCATTCTCATTTTATAGATGAAAACAATTGAAACTTAAATAAGTTATACAACTTTTCTAAGGCCACACATGTGGGAAGTGGCAGTACCAGGACTGGAGCCCAGGTCTGTCTGACTTCTGTGCCCATGCCCTTAACCTCTATGACAGGTTGTCTCCAAACACGTCATGCACTATGCCTTTACTTATATCATTGAAATTGGGGGACTTAGAGATTATCCAATTAGATATTTCCATCATGTAGATGAGAACCTTCACCTAGAGAGGACAGCTGGATTTATCAAGGTCACACACCAGAACTTTCTTTTTTGAAATGCCTCCCTTACTGTCCTATATATCCAAACCCTATATAGCCTTCAATACCTAGCTCAGATCCCAACCCATTCCACCTCCCAAAGCCTTCCCTGTCTGGCCCGGTCCTCAGTGGACTCACATTCCTCTGAAACTTATACCACTTTCTGCTGGTACCTCTTACTTAGCACTTCCACATAGACTGTCATGCATTTCTTTAATTGCCATGTGACTAATTAAAAGAATCCTTTCATGTGCACGTGACTTTTCCTCTCATATAGATTGTAAGTAACTTGAGCAGAAAACTTTGAAAAATATTCTCTCATGTTGCAATTTTAGTTCAATTTGTAGAAAATGTATTGAGCACCTAATAACACAATGTACCTGGAGATGAGTAAGAAAATCTCTAATCTCAAGGAACTTTCTTTTTTTTAGTAAGGAACGTAATTTAAGTGCACAAATTATTACTTTTAAAAGAACAAGTTATATAAGTGCCACAGCTCTGAAAGTTGAAAGGACAGATTACATCTGGTTTGATGGGATCTGAGAGACTTCATGGAGGAAGTAGATTTAAGGTCAGCCTTGAAGGTGATGATGTGGTTTTATGAACATTGAAGGCAAAGGAAATGCAAGAAAAAGTGAAGGGAAAGACAAACGGTGCTCAGGGTAAAGGCTCACTATGGCCTGCGTGGGTTGCAGCGTGTGGCCCAGCAGGTTGACTGTGGACCACAGGCTTGTTTTGTTTGACCACCATAAGATTTCCTTCCACTTATAATCTGAATGCGTTTAGGTGGGTCCTGCCTAGTCTGTGTACTCTCTGTAGTTTTCCAACAGGCTGCTACACATTTTTACCTTGGTTGCCTAGACCCTAAAGGCTTTTGAGTGAGGAGGGTAGCAGGAGGATGCTCGTAAGGTGGCTTGGAGGCCAATATTATGTCAAGGTAAAGATTTTTCAAACAAATCATTGGGGAAGAGACTCATATTTGTGAGTGAAAAAGTAATGTGATTGGAGCTGCACTTGGGGACAATGGATCTGGCAGTGGTGTGTAAGACTGAGCAGAAAAAAGTAGGAATCAAGTAAGAAATCAATGTCCTCTTTGACCCCTCGCAGCCTGTGGCACAAGTAGTTATGCTTCTCCAATACTTCTTGTGGTCTGTGGTCTGCGTTACACACTGTAGCACTG